GCTCTCAGAGCGAAGCCCCATTCTAATGGAAGTGCCAGTCAGGCTCTTTCACTTTCAAATATCCCACTTTCCTCTACAAGCTTAGTATCTAGTGTGCAGATGAGCTTTTCTAGATCAATAATGGAGAATCCCTAGCCTTCAGGTGTCTGCGTGATATGCATTCCATATATCTCCTGTCAGTTGAAAAAAAAATAACATTCACAAGCCCTGGTAGGGTTCCATTCACCATTTACTCAAGATCCTCTGAGCTTAACCTGGGGTAAATCAGACCACCAGAAAATTGTATATCTACACTATATCAATCCTCTTCCCTTCCCCAGAAAGCTATTTTCATAGAATTATGAATTAATAATCTTTCATATGAAAAAGTCACATGGGCTCATTTTTGTAAAATTGTTATTCAAGACATTTAGCCCAATGAACTTTGTTTAGGGAACACTGTGTTTCTATTCTGGGCTTCAGCAAGGATATATTAAATGGGAATTTTGAAGGAGAAAACATTGTTCTTTTTTTTTTAAGATTTTATTTATTTAGTTGACAGAGAGAGAGCAAGCACAAGTGGGGGAGTGGCAGAGGGAGAGGGACAAGCAGACACCCTGCTGAGCCAGGAGCTGATGCAGGACTCTATCCCAGGACCTTGAGATCATGACCTGAGCTGAAGTCAGATGCTTAAACCGACTAAGCCACTCAGGTGCCCTGAAAACATTGTTCTTATCCTTCAAGATTTTGTAGTCTGACTGAAGTCATGAAACTTTCATATATGAAACAGTGAAATCAAGAGCATATGATTCAGTGCCAAAGCATTTAGAGAAAAACATAAGAACTAAGAGAAAAAGCTCCTGGATGGCTCAGTCAGTTAAGCCTCCAACTCTTAATTTCAGCTCAGGTCATGATCTCAGGATCATGGGATCAAGTCCCAAGTCAGGCTCCACACTCAGCGTGGAATCTTCTTTCTCTCTTGCTCTCTTGCTCTCTCTCCCCCTCTGCGCCTTCCCCCGTCTAAAATAAGTAAATAAATCTTTTTAAAAAAATATGAACTAAGGGGTGCCTGGGTGGCTCAGTCGTTAAGTGTCTGCCTGGGGCTCAGGTCATGATCCCAGGGTCCTGGGATCAAGCCCCACATCGGGCTCCCTGCTCCGCGGGAAGCCTGCTTCTCCCTCTCCCACTCCCCCTGCTTGTGTTCCCTCTCTCACTGTCTCTCTGTCAAAAAAATAAATAAAAATCTTAAAAAAAAAAAAAAGAACTAAGAGAAGATGCTAGAATGATCACAAGTCTATAAGGAGGACAGGAAGGGGCCTAACTTTGATTTGAGGACAGAAAATTGTTATAGTCAGAAGAAAAATAAAAGAGAAAAGATGAAACAGAGACAAGATAATCACTGAGAACTATAACTCTCTGAATAAAATTAGAATTATGAATCCTTGTTGATTAAATAAATAAATAAATAAATACACAAACAGGGAGAAGAAAAAGCTCTTCCTTACAGTAAGCTAACAATGAATGAGCAGGGATGATGGCATTAGAGAAATCATCCATTGTCACTAAAGCTAGGGATGCTCTATCTCTTTAATAATCCTGCCCTCTCTTTCATGAGCCTCTACAACCTCAAAAAGCCCAGTGACTGACCTCAAGCCATCATATAACCCAGGCGCTCCATGCACTGGCATCCAATAAAAAAATTTAAGCATACCCACTAAAATATGTGGATTTCTTTGTTCTCACACGATATAAGAATATGTATTACTATAGTAACAGAGATCATAAAACATACAAAACCAACTTGAAATGAATTAAATATTAAAAAATTTTTTATTTTGTTTATTGTGTAGAAAAGCTTTTGAATTTTTAAAATTTACTTAGTTAAAAAGCTTTTGAGCTTTTAAAGTTTATTATATGGAAAAGCTTTTGAATAGTCAACTGATTTGTTAATATTTTAGCAAAGCTACGTAAGTAACATGCTTTGTTACTGAAATATGTATAGGATTAGCCTTGGTAAAACAGCAACTTGAAGGCCTAATCCCAGGTTTGTTTTATTTTGAGACTGGTTTGAATGGCTATGCTAGCTGGGGAAGCTAGTTGTCAATGATACAAAGGTCTGAGTGGGAGAAGGGCACTTTCTTGGCTGCACTCTGTGCATCGTGACCCCACTTCCTCCCACCCGATCATCGCCTACACAAACATTTCTGTTGAAACTTGACTATTCATGTTTCATGTTCCCTTGTCCAGCAGTTGTTGTTATAAGCTAACTGGAAGTTACTGCATTTTTATATTTTAAATAAATGGGTACAAATCGCACTGACACTCATCATTTGGAAAAATTTCAGATGGGTTAAAAAGTTTATCTCCTGTATATATATATATATATATATATATATATATATGAGAGTTTTTCTAGATGATGCATATCATTTTGGCCAGAAAATCTAATAATGATGCCAACATTTCCAAACTTCCCTTTTCAAAATGCTCTCTTCCCAACAGGACTATTTTGCAAAAAGCAGTTATTTCTCACTTGTAATATCATCTTTACTTTGAAAGGACAGATTGCATTCATTTTTTTTCATGTGTATCTGCTATGTGGAAATGACTGGCAGCCATTTGCATCACTACAAAGGTCACTAAATTTAGGACACTTGTCTTTTTGTAAAAGAAAAATTTGGTTTCACAACCCTTTAAATTATTGTATGAGATATGGTACAACATTTTCAAGTTCATTCCCTCTCCCTTTCATCACAAATTGTATTATTTAAAGCCCTGTTTCTATAAAATTCATCACGACAATGACACTCTATAGCATGTGATCTGCATTATGTCATGGTAGACTAAAGAAAAAGAAAGGATGGGGCTGCTTCCTTTGTGGTGTGCCAACCTTTTAGTCAACCTTGGAATCATACCCAGTATGTCACCCACATCACGAATGAAGGCTATTTATAAGGACCAGTAAAGTTTAATTTCTTTGTTACATTTTTAGATGAAAATGAACAGAAAGTTCTAATATTGTTTTCCTACACCCCAAATGGATCATTGTGCATCTTTAGCTCTTTAGTCCTCAGTTCTCCAGAACATTCACTTTGGCACCATCCCCAGGGGCTGCGTCTCCTGGGGGCCCCATGCTCCAAAGCTGCTTCTCACTCCATCCTCTTCCCTTTCCCTCCATCCTACATGAAATGGTCTAAATCAGTAGTAGTGGCACCTGCTGACAAAGCAGTCTTGTTAAAATATAGCAAAGCCTCAGGATTTGGGGGTTTGTGACTCCATTTTTATTTTTTATTTTTTTTTAATTTTTATTTATTTATTTATTTTTTATTTATTTATTTGAGAGACAGAGGATGAGAGACAGAGAGCATGAGAGGGAGAAGCAGACCCCCC